ACCGCTGCTACAGAGGATGCAAACTCGTGGATTGGCCATTCCAGTGGGTATAAAAATGACCCATCTCAGAAACAGAAAGAGAAATCCCATGACCATTGTGATAGTTAGGTTTATTGTGCCAACATGGCCAACAGGAACATGTCGGAGGAAATTAATCAGGTCACAGTTTGATTGGAGGGCAAACAGATAAATGGCTCTGCAAGGCCCGCCCCCATCTCTCTTACTCTCTGGTGATTGGACCAGTATGCTGCAACTTTAACTAGTTCTCTGCCTCAGCCTGTGTGCTACACTAGCTGTGGGCCAAGCCAACCTGTGGATTGTGTTGCTAGAGCTTGAGGATTTTTTGAGACCAGCTTTGCCATACTGTTGGTGCATACGTCAGTGAGCTTGAGGCTGGTGAATCCTGCCGCCTTGCATTGCGTGAGTTCAAAATTCCACCCAAGCCTGCTTCCATAAGCTCCCGTACTGCTGACTGTTGCTGCCCCACCCTGCGGGCAAACATTACCTGTTTTGCCTGAGGGAAGACTCTGCTGTCTGCTTCCTTGACCTTGTACTAAAGCCCCCTCCCTGAGTTGAAGGACTTTCAGTATATTAACTGTTCCACAAAAGTGAGCTGCACTGAGCCCTTGGTACTACTGTGTGGACTAATTAGCAGTTATATTCTTTCTCGCAGTATAAACCTATCCTCATATATTTATATACATATGTGATCATAAGTGTCCTGGTTTTGTTTCTCTAGAGCAGCAATATTCAACCTGTGGGTCGCAAACTCTTTGGGGGTCAAACAACCCTTTCATGGGGGTCGCCCGATTCATAGTAGTAGCAAAATTACAGTTACGAAGTAGCAACAAAAACAATTTTATGGTTGGGGGGTCACCACCACATGAGGAACTGTACAAAAGGGTCACGGCATGAGGAAGGTTGAGAATGGCTGCTCTAGAGAATCCTGCCTAACACAGCCATCAAGAAAGAAGAGTCAAAAAAGAAAGAAAGAAAGAGTCACTAGCCTGCAAGACCCTAAAGTGGTAGAGGCAGCAGAGACCATAGCACTGAGGACAAATAAAGCTGAGGTCCGTGCTTCTGGGAAGAGTCTGACTTAGAGTGGGCTTCCCCTTAGGCATTTAGCACTGCTAAAGGAGTTTTTTTTAACACTTGCTAGAGCAGGGCAGAGGCCAAGGAACCTTGTGATTGAGAGGCCAAGAATTGGGGAGACAACCTGCCAGCATGGCTTAAAAGAGGCACTGCAGACAAAAGGACTGTATTCTTATTGCTGTCTGGTCTTCATTTGATGTAAACTTTTAACTTCCAGAATAAATCTCCATAATGGGAGGTGACCTAATATCTGTTTAAGCTTTCTTTGAAACCGCCCATGAAAATGGTTTACATATGTATGCATATCCCTTGCTAAATACATTCTCAAGAATTTTATAATTTTATTGCTAATATGTCATTTCTTATATTCCAGGGCTATATACATAAGATTGCTCATGGTTTTTTGCATTTTTATCCATTACTTTTACTCCACTTAAAATATGTTGCTGTCCGGCGCCACCATGTCGGTTACAACTCCTAGTGACCCTTATGCACAACAGAATGAAACACTGCTTATTGTGACTCCACCCTCGAAATTGTTACGTTTGAGCCCCTTGTTGCAGCCACTACGTCAAGCCACTTGTTGAGTTTTTTCTTCTCTTTTACTACATCAAGTCCGTTTCCAGAGACTGGCCTTTTCTGTCCCAAGTGTGTGAGATGAAGTCTTATCATCCTGGCTTTTAAAGAGTGTGCTGACTATGTCACTTCCAAGACAGATTAGTTTGTTTCTGGCAGGCCACGGTACTTTCAACTCTTCTTCAGTTTTCCTTATTTATTGTCCCCCATCACATGCCTGTGAGGCAATTGAACATACATGGCTTGCGGGGGTCAGGCACACCTTGGTGACACCCTTGCTCTTCCACACATTAAGGAGGTCTTGTGCAGCTCATCTGTCCAGTGCAATGCACTGTTGGATCTCTTGACTGCTGCTTCCTGGAGCGCTGATTGTGGATCCAAGCACAATGACATCCTTGATAACGTCAGTGCTGTATATTGGTGCGGTTGTACGGATTTTGGTTTTCTTTACACTCTTTCATCCTATACTAGTTTTAAAACAACTGGTTTTACCAAGTTATGGAATCGTATCATTGGAAAATGCTAGTCTCGTCTCTCATTTCTTTTTCATGTTTATTACATTGTTCAAATTCCTAAATAAGGTAAACTAATAGACAGTGATGGGGTGGTAAGGTCATTCTTACTGTGTTACTGTCTTCAAAGAGAATGAATCCAAGCCTTCATGAGACCCACTAAAGTGCACTCTGCACTCCTCAAGCACACATGCTAGATGTGACTTAGCCGTTTCTTCGCATGGAACATGAACAGTATTGCCTCGTCTGACTCACAGTGATCCCATGGGACAGGGTAGACCTGCCCCTGAAGGTGTCTGAGACTGTAACGCTACCTGAGTAGAAAACCTCCTCTCTGTCCCTCGGAACGTCTGGTGGTTTCGAGCTGCTGACGGTTTGGTAAGCAGTTCAATGTGTGGCCACTGTGTCACCAGCGCTCCAATTCATTTTAGTTTGGGGAAAGGTCTTACGGCTTACAAAAAGTATGTGTGGGCAGGCTTTAGATGAGCATCTAATCTAATCCAATGTTTACCATCAGAATCGAATCTACCCTTTAGATTAGGAAACTCAGGCAATCTAGGTGCTTTTCAAAGTCTACCAACTTAAAATCCCACAACCAAACCCTAAGGATTTGACATTCCAAATGACCTTCCTGGGCGCTGCTGACTCATCTGGAGTCCACGCACCACAGGGTTGTCAAGGCCCCTGTTAATTGCCACTGAATCTATTCTGAATTGTACTTTGAAAAAGTACAATTAAAAAAATGTATATAGAGTAATTTGAAGAACATAGAATAAAATTAAGTTTACAAGATCAGGAAGAGTTTTCATCCCTTAAAACAAGCACTTTGCCAGGAATGTGGTAGATGCTCAATAAACATTTATTAAAAAAGGAAAAATAAAATACTTTTAGATGGGTGGGATGATATGTAATAGATGTGTTATATAATCACCTTTACCCTGCCGATTTTGTTTACAATGAGAATATATTGCTGATATACTATTACGAAGAAGTCAAAGGGTACGTCAGGAAAAGTTTCTACACCAAGCTTGTTTCTCATGAAACTTGTCTAGATATGACAGCGATTTCTCAACTCTTGAACCGTTGCTAAATTTCTCATATCACACAGTTCTTTTGTTTCAATGCTTTCAGTACTATAATATTTCTACAGCCCACGGCTCAGCTGCTCAGCTTGGTACCCTTGTTTCTGTGGATTTCCAGGTCAGTTAACGCCTTCTCACGGATGTTAACAAGGCCTCATTCCTTTGGTCTTGTACGTCTTCAAAGAACGCAGTGGAATACCTGCTTGCTTTCGAATACAGCTACAGTCTTGCCTCCTTTCCAAGGCTTCTTTGAATATTTTGGCTCACAAAAATTCTGTATCATTTAACTCTTGGCCATATAAGGTCTCATATTACGTGTGTGACCATCTTGAGTCATCATCGAAGCCTGTAAGGTCTTTGATATAAAGAACGCTGGTTTATACTTAATCTGTTGGCCCTACTTTCTGCCCAGCACTAATTCCAAACTCAGGGTCTTCTCGGCATCCATTAAATACTTGCTCATTAAAAGGAAGACCCTTGAAAACCAAGTGTCTCTGGCTATAGATAGCTAGCAATCAAGCTTCCTAATTTAGTTTTTCTGACTTTCTGTGGCAAATTCCAAATTATCCTACGTATTTCCATTTAAAAATAAATACTGCAAACACCACTGGGCAAGGAAGACATATGGCAATATAGAATGCTTTGTAGCACTATGGCTGTGCCTTAAATCACTGTGGATCAAACTGCCAGAAGCTGAGAAGATAACAGAATTTTCCTCTCCCTTTATTCTTCAGTGAGGAGAGAAGATCACTATATTATGCCTATCGATGAAAATATTTAACAATAAAAACTGCAAACACCGCTTTATAACTTCAATAAGATAGTCTTACTACCAAATGTTTTAGTCATCGGATCTCTTGGAAGCTTGAATGGAGGGAAACTTTAGGGTTTTAATTATGGATGAAGCCATACAATTCTGGAAGCAAAGTACAGCAAGCAGCCAAAAATGTTACACATATGATTTTACTCCAAATGGGCACATTGGCCAAATGGGGAAGCCCCACAGTCATACATCTGACCACCTCCTCCATCACTTTCAAAAGGGATTTGAGAGATATTCCCTTATATTGGAATTCTGTGTGTTGACTGTGGCCCCTATAGGCCAATACCAAAAAAAGGTCTGCATTTTTATGATGCTAAATAGTTTAGAGTTGAATCTAAAATCCATTATGGTAACTTTATGGTCTCTTGAGAGTGCTCAGTAAATAAAAGGAGCGGATGGAAAGCTTCATTCCCTCTGTTTCTTTAACTTCTTACAGAAGCCAAAGTTGAGACCCACTGCCATCGAGTCAATTCTGACTCATGGCGACCCTATAGGACAAGGGGAGAACTGGCTCCTGTGGGTTTCCGAGACTGGAACCTGTATGGGAGTAGAAAGCCATGCCCTTCTCTTGCAGAGCAGCTGGTGGTTTCGAACAGCTGACTATGCAGTTTACCGCCCTACGCACAGTCCATTTCATCACCAACGCTCTGGCACAGGTTGACGCTGAAATTCCTTCTATAGTCGTTGATTTTTCTGGTCTAGTGAACACCTTTGGCCTATGCAGGCATTAGCGGTTTTCACTTGGGCTAATGACAGTCTAGGTGCTATGCATCCAACTAAGCTGGGCCTGAAAAAATTGATAGTTTCATTAACTTTCTTTATTACTCAGAACAAGAAAATGACATGTCAAAATTGTGAGATTCATTATTTTTGGACAGTTGAGAAAATCTCTGCACTAGACTTGTGGAAACTTACATTTAGAAGACTAATGTTCCTTTTATAAGCGGTCTCCATTGATTGAAGCTGAGATGCCTTTCCTGTGTTTTGTTCTCCACATTTATTCTCCATTTGTTGAAGTAATGCTAATCTTTGTGATACTCTGGGGGGGGGGGAGTAAAGATTGAACAAAGTTAACAAAACACAAACATTTTATTGCTTGCCTCTTTAAAAGAATAACTTAATTGCTCCTTACTTGTGACCTAACTTTTTTGAAAGCATATTCATTATAAGTCCATGCCTCTGTTTTTTGTTTTTGTTTTTTTGGCCTCTCTGGGCTTTTGAGATGATTTCAGGGTGTTAAAGACATGCCTTAACTTTTGGTGAAAATGTAAGCTGTAATACATATCCCTTTGTACACATACTTATATATACCTCCCCACACATATACATTCATACAACTTGCTATACGAAACCTTCTGCTTAACACTTCAGTACCCCTGAATCTCATGTTACACATTTAGAATTGTGCTAAACTTCCATATGTTTGAAGAAGCAATAAAAATATTTTTTCTCTTTTTCCAAGAGAATGATGATGGTTGGCTGTGAGTGAGAGGCGGCTTGTATGTGCGCAGACTCACCACAAGGTGAAACAGTAATTGAAGAAAGAGGTAAAAAGTTAGAGGTTATTGTCAAACAATTTGTTATGTGTCAAATACTTTTAAAGTTTCTCAGTATTCAAAAGCTTTTTCTACAAGCATCCTCTGAAATGATGAATAAAAAAATGTCATGTGATTAAAATAAGCCAAGTAGTACATGTTAAGGGAATAATCACTTCTCACACACTTGTGAAGGCTCTCAAGAGGCACCATGTCAAATTGCGTTATTTTTGAGGGTAGAACTAAAACCCGAGGTCTTTGAACACTCATGTTCGTAAGGTGACATCGTAGAAGGCCAAGGAAGAGGGCCTGTAATTAATTTTTAAAAAGCAAAACAACAGATGACACGGGCAGCAGCAGCAAGGACAGGTTATTAAAACGAAGTGCAGGGTGGGCTACAAAAATTGCAAGGCCTGGTTCAAACAGAAAATTGGAAGTGGGAGTAGAGTGGGTTTTCCATTGGGGAACAGGGTCAGCACTGCTCAAGTAGCAACTGTTAATCTCTGCTATTTTTCAAGAGACACTAGCATTCCCTTATGCCAAAATATATCCACATAAATGTCGGAAGACAAAAATATTCTGAGGTTTAAATCTTGTGTACACAAAATTTCATTCATAAAGCCAATACCATTTATATGATTAGATTATCTTGGGGAGAGAAATCCAAAAACTTACATTTCTTCATGCCTTTTAGACAGGCGAATCTCTCGTGCAAAAAGGGAGGTCATCTTTAATCAAGAGTTATAAGCTTTCTGCTAAATAATAAAAACATTTAAAGTTACTTCCACCATGTGTTCTCAGCTTTGCAACATCTGCTAGTTTTCGTACCTCAACTCACTGGTTTTCTCTGAAGAGAAAATAAAACTTAAGATGTAATCATGTCCACAATTAAAGAATGCATTTAAGAACATTTTTATTCTCAAGATATATAGCTCTTTGTATGCCAGATGCATTCCAGAATACTATGAATTAGGTAAATTCATCATATTTCATATCTCACCCTCTTTTCCACACGGTAACCTCAATCAGAATTCAAAACAAATAAGCAGCTGGTACTAAGACTAGTAAACACTTTATTGAATCAACAGAAAGAAAAAAATCCACTCGTAAAATTCAACACAGGAAAACCAATCCTTATGCATGTGCACACACACAGACACAGAAAGGCAAACAAGTATGAGAACCAACTGGAAACTTGTGGTCTTTCCTTTATTGGAAGACTGCCCAGTTCTACCATCTCTCTTGCAAACAGAGAAGTCTTTTTCATGTGTCAGGGTAGGGGGAACACAATTAGTCCCTCCACTTGGCTTTAGCTATTCAGTACTTTCACCTGGAAGTTTAGGAAATGCAACTTTTGCTGCCAGCTCTATCTTGAGCAAGATCACCTTGGCTGAGGACTCCCAACTGGGTAAACAAATGGAAGTCTAGCACACAGGTTCAAAGGCTCCGAGTCCAGGTGCAAACGCCGGAGACTGCCCTAAGGGAGGAAGTCATCAGGATGGCGTTCCTTCTTGGAATGATGCATTAGGTTTCCTAAATTGTATAAGACCAAACATGACTGTCTCCGGTGAGAAGACATTGAATTGCTAACAGCAAGATTGGCGATTCAAACCCATCAGCCCCTGTCTGTGCTGGTGAAGATTTGCAGCCTCGGAAACTCTATGTGGGGCCCAGTGAATCGGAACTGGGGGTGGGTTTTTATTGGGTGAGTTTGGTGAGTGCGTCTCCTATTAGTTTTCCGTGCTGGCAGATGCATTTATTCAGCACCGAGGACAGCAACCACCCAGGCTTGCCGCCTCCGGTCTATTTACATATGCTTTCAGCAAAGGTCGCTTCCAGCCAATCGGCCGAGGCCTTCCTCTCGGGTTCCCATTACTCGGAAGTACCCTCCCCTGCGTCCGGGCAACCCGGACAACCCGGGGAAGGGAGTTGGTGTTAGCTTTGCCCCCTGTCCTCCCTGCCATCAAAGCTTCAGACCAAACCCCCAGGTAAAGTCTGCACTTTGAACCGAAATCCAGGAGAATCTGTGCCGGAGTCATCAGCCCTCCGACCTGCAGTTTAGAACGACCCTGAGAAACTTCCCTGAACACTCCAACCCTAACCCCACACGTCCCCTCGCTGGCGCTGCACTGCCACCCCACAGCGGGCCACCCGCCTCCACTCACCGAGCCCTCCCCGGGACTCCACCGAGAGCGCTGGAGAGCGCTGAAGACCGCGCGGGGGCCGGGCTGCCACGTAGGCCCGGGCGTGAGCACGCCACCTCCTCTGCCCATGCGCAGTGCGTGATGACGTAGCACGTCAGTGGCATCGCTTCTCTGAGCGGTGTTTGGTTTGAGAAGAAGGTAACCTACACGTGTGTTCTCAGCCTACCGGGAAGAGCCGTTTGCTCTAAACTCAATTTCAGGCCCCTTTAAAGAGGGACATGCGTATGGTAAAATCAACAGTGGTTGATTATAAGAAGTGTCACAACAGCGTTGCAAGAGGGGAAACTGCAATAATGCAGTCCTAAGCGCAGGTTAGCTGTGCGAACGCAGGAGCCGCTCTGAAGGAAAAGCATGAGGTTATTTGCTCCTGTGAAGAATTACAACCTGGGGACTCTTAGGGAGCTCTTCTACTCCGTAGGGTCGCTGTGTGTCAAAATGGACCGTATAGCAGTGTTTAAACGGATTTCTTGTTCAGTCTTCAGCAAAGGTCTGCGGAGCGCTGGAGGGTTTTCTGTGTCCATCTCAGTTTACGGGGATGCTCTCGTTGAGCCCCACAACACCCTGCGAGAATGGGTACCATTATTCTCATTGTACAGACGCGGAAAGTTGGGCTGTTAATTTGTCCACAGTTGTAGTGTGAAACGTTCTCTAAGCTATTCACAGACCCTCGAGTTCACGCTTGCTGATACATAGCCCCCTACAGTTATGAAGGGCATACTTAGACGTCCCTGTATGTATTCCTGGCAATAACTTTGTGAAGTACGTGATATTTTAGAGAGGAAGAAAGAAAAAGAGGCTCAAGAGGCTAAGGTTGTAATCTTCCTGAAAGGTAGTCAGTTGGTTAAGGGCAAAGAATGAGGACTCCAATCCAGGGGTTTGCTTTTTGTTTGTTTTCTTAATAAAATCAATTAAGACATGTGTGCCTGCTTCAGGGTTATTCCAGATAATGGTGTTTTTGTAGCTTTGCTTGGAAAGTCCCTTACTGACATACATCCTGGCGTCTAAGTTTCCTTTCCTTCGATGCTCTTTCTTCAAAGGAGCATTTCTGGAACCCCACTGGTAGAATCCCAACCCCAGCCCACTGGCTTTTTATCTTCCTATTCCAGTTTTGTTTTTTATCACAGTACAATTCTCCATGTTATTTAATCACTTGTTCGTTTCTTTACTAGGGCTTCCCCCAACCCCGCCATACACAAACTGTCCCATTAAAATTCAAACTCAGAAGGACAAATATTTTTGGCTTATTTGCTGCTCTATCCTCTAACTAGAAATGCGTGACATGTAAGCACTCGGTAAATATTTTCAAATGAAATCATCCACTCCCATTGAAATTCCATCATAATCTAAGTTACTGGTAGGGCCCGTAAATGAGCTGTTTCTCACTTTTAATGCTTAAAAGGAGGAAAAACTAAAACTTTGAATTGCTCAGAGTTCTAGAAATGAAATAGTATGCTTGCATGAATGGTTTCAAGCCATTCTTGTTTGTGAGTTTACAAAGACTTCCTTAGGCTGGTCATGAGACCCAATGACAAAGCACTAGTGTGCTCAAGGAAACCTTTGCTCACGCTCTGCTTTGTGTAACATTGCTTAGTGACACACAATGGCTAAATTCAGCTCTTGTCTGTCTGAGTTGTGGACCAAGGAACAGTTCCTCGTGCAATATTTGGAAGAACAGCACCCAGGGAGCCCTCACAGACAGTTGACTTGACAAGCACTTTTATAAAAGAACTTACTCTTGAGAACCTGCTATGATAGCTCCCCTTCTCATGAATCAGCAGCCCACTGTTAGTTTGTTCACTGTTGAAGTGTCAAACTATGTCACATGTCAGCCAATTAATTGCACACAACCACCAGCTGCTCTGTGGGAGAAAGATGGCTTTTTTACTCTTTCTGCTCCTGTAAAGCGTTACAGTCTTGGAAATCCACAGGGGCAATTTCTACTCTGTCTTACAGGGTCATCAGAATAGACTTGATGGCAATGACTCTTTTGGTTTGAGATAAGTTTAGGTACTTTCTGGAAAGAAAGGAGCCCAGGTGATACAATGAGTTAAATGTTGAGCTGCAAGGTCAACAGTTCAAACCCATCATTTTGCTCCCTGGGAGAAAAATCGTGCTCTCATAATGATTAACAGTCTTGGATACCCAAAGGAGAAGTTCTACTCTTTTCAGTAGGGTCACTATGAATTGAAACCAACTCAATGGCAAGGTATCTGGTGACTGGCTTGGAGTGAAGTACTCCTGGTCTACCATTCAAATGATTACAACCTACTAAGTAACACCTGGCCATAGTGGCGTGTTTGGTAACAGCGTGCTGCAGATCCTGTGCTTCCTAGTCCCTGGACTAGTTTTGTGGTTCTTCTGCAGCTTCCCCCTTCATTTATTTGGGAGTACTGGGTCCTTTAGTCATAATTTGTGTAAAGATGGATTTTGTTACCTATCTGTCAGATGTAGTCTCCACCTTCAAGAGCTAGAACCTGGCTGCACTCAAAGTGTGAACAGTAATCTAGAAGATACTGGTTGACAACGGAAATCACTAATCTTTGCTTCAGTGTTTATTCTGTACCAGACACTTTGCATGAACCACCTCATGGAATCCCTACAACATCTCTATGAGGAAAGGTTCATGGACTCCTGTGTTAGCCATTGTTATAGCCGAGGAAATTGAGGCTAAGAGAAGATCCCATGACAGTAAGCTACCTCCAGTCTATTTGATGTGCGTGCCAGCAGCTCTGTTGAAGTGTGATTTAGATTCACAATGTGGACAAGGGTGCTTCAGTAGAGTGAGTACTGTATGTAGGCAAGGTCGTCTAGATAGCGTTTTGGAAGGTGTTGTGGGCTTTGCAAGATGAATGGGATTTAAGGGTCTTTTTTTATGTGATCTGGTGCCTTGGGGACCAGGAGAGAGCTGTGTGTCCTACATGAAGGAAGCAGTGTGGACAAAAGTGTGTCCCGAGAACACAGCTGGATGGGGCCTTGTGGACCCTTTATTATTATATTATATATTTGCCATATCTTGCACCAGCCTGTGTGATCATGAGGTGTCAATGGGGATAGGTATCTGAAGTTCAAAAATAAGCGATCAAATTGATGTGAAGGAGCATGGACAAAGTGGAGACCCCAAACCCATCTATAAGATAATTGAACAGTCCCTCACAGGAGGGCCACACAGAAGGGATGATGGATCTAGGGAGCAGGGTAGCATTGAGGAAACACATAACTATCCTCTAGTTCTTTAATATTTCCTCTCCTTACTATATAGTCTTTGTTTCACCTCATTAATCTTGTTAGATCTGCATGTGTTCATTTGTATAAAGAGCATTTGATGCATGAAGCCAAGATAGATAACCCTTCAGAAACAAGAATGGGAGTAATGATTCCCTGAGGGTAGGGAAGAGATGGGAGAGGGAAGAGAGGGAGCTGATAGCAATGATGACTGCATATGCCCATTCGAGGGGAATGGATACATTGGATGGTGTAAGATATGGCAAATTTATAATATAATATTAAAGGGTACCTGAGGGATGTGGGGCTGGGATGGGATAAAGGGGAGCTGATATCAAAGAGTTCAAGAAGAAAGAAATGGTTTTAAAATTGATGGTGGTAGCAATTGTAAAATTGTGCTTGATCTAACTGAATTATGGATTGTTATTATATCTGTTAGAGCTCCCAATAAAATGATTAATTATTTTTTTCAAGTAGAAATCTTCAAGTTTTCTTTGGTTAACAAGAACAGTTTCTAATGGTAATCTTATGTAAAAATGAGGTGGCATAAGGTGAACTTTGGAAAACCTAAAAAGATTTATATATATATATTTTTTTTCCTGACTTCTTTTTTTTTTAACATTTTATTAGGGGATCATACAACTGTTATCCCAATCCATACACACATCAATTGTGTAAAGCGCATTTGTACAT